TTTAAGCGTAAACATCGTTGTGCCAATTCACGGTCACGTGTATCGAAAGTCGAAGCGTGAGGTCTCTCGGACGGAAAAAAGGTTAAAGACTGCGTTTACTAGTATGTTTTCGCGTCGTCGGTGACGTTCCAGAGCGAGGAAGAAATGGATTTGTGAAAGGAGATGTCAAGTAAGTGTTCGTTTACATGTATTTGCGGGATTGTTTTGCCGTTAAAGCCTTCCGCAACTACAGTTTATAATTATGCTCGGTCTGCATTTTATCCTGCGTTTTACTCTTAGTCTGCAGTCTGCATGTGACCTTCCCTGCTGCGCTGGCGTTTCCTTAACAACCAGTGACGTTTTTCTCACGTGCGACACAACCCACAGAACCGGTTTGCGCGCGAAACTTCAGCTGAAGGCGGGGGTATATGTTGTGGAGAATTCTTCGCAATGTGAAACGATGCCGAGAACTCCACAATCTCGCAAATTTGGGGAAAGCGCGTCACCTCGGACGCCCATTAAACTAGTTGGGTCTGGAAAAGACGTTAGATGCCTTTTGTGTGGTTTAGATTTTAAAGGTGAAAGGTGTTGACAGGCCAAACACGACTCATAAGCTCGTGATAGTGTGATACGTGACCTTATAGTTTTGCTCTAACGAGGATATCTCCCAGCCATTTTGCTCTTTTATATGAAATGATCGGAGGCTCGTTGTATATTTCTCTCAGTAGTGGTTGATCTTGAATTAAGTGCCATTTGCTCATTAAAATGTTTTTAAGGTTCGGCAAAGCAGGGTGGTATGTGGTAACGAAAGGCAGAATTTTCTTTCGCACTTCATTGTTCTTTTGTAAAGCTGACTTCCGTTCGGTAAATTTAACCTCAGAGGTGAGGGTAACCTCTAGCGCGAAGGCGTTTTTTGAAGTTGTAGATGTTCTCATAGAAGGATTTAGCTGAGGAGTTCAAAGGAGAGACAACTAAAACCACTGGTTCTGTAGAGAAGAGATCCTTGTAATTGTAAACAACAGATAACTCGGCCGCCACTCGTACTGCTAGTTGGTAAATTAAAAATTTGCCGTAGCCCGTCGGGAGACGCGCAAACGTATCGCGTCCTTTAAGGAAACCAAGTAAGACTTTTCTTTGTAGGGAAGTTATTTCTTTTATATATACGTTTGTCGCCAAGCTTAGAAACGGACGATTTTATGGCTTGATCAAAGTGAGAAATTTCGAAACTCGAGGATCTCATGAAAGCCATAATTCACTGTGGGCTCAATAATTGTCAGCGTACAGTTTAACAAGGCACGCGCATTACACATTAAACGTAACCGGTTTTAAAAACCGGTAAGTTTCGACCAGAAATCTGGTCGGCGGCTTCATCAAACAACGCGTCGGAAGCCGGCAGAGGTCTCTCTCCTTTCTCTCATTTTTGCCTCGTCGTGAGAGACGTCTGCTAGCAGGGAACATGTGACCACATTGAGACAACAACTCAAACGCGGTGAATTCTAAAACTGAAAAACGGCTGTTGTTTTACTGACAAGTAGATAAGGTTGACGTAAAACTAGAAAGGAAAATACAATTGAAAGATCTTAATTACATGCGACGAGAAATGTACTAAGTAAACAAATACGAATACAAACTTAACTAGAAAATTACAACAGGCGAAATAATAAACCAAATAAAAGAGGAAACGAAAGAAAGACTAATAGCTTGTGAGCCTATCATAGATTTGTCCAGAAAAACCAAAATCCATCGCTGAACTAGTGAGCGAAGTAATCTCTGACCGCCGAGCTAACGATCATGCAACTTAAAAATAACGGCTTGGTCACCTGACCCCAAAAGGGTGCGAAAATTACACTACCGCGCGGTCCTGGGATGGCTAGCAGCCACACTGCATTTTACACACAGTCTGCATTTTACCCCTGGTCTGCAGTCTGCAGTCCACAGTCTGCGTTTTACACTGACCGCATTGCAAATGATAAGTACGGTAACCGTTCAAGGGGTTGGCGGCTTTATGATGAGAGGCGGCCTCTGGTTGAGGCAACCGACGTATGCGGGTCGACCGGAAGCTGTTAGAATGGCAATGTGCCTTGGCATGAGTGTTTTATTTTGATCGTTGTTTTTATGTGAATTTGTTCTGATCTTTGGTTACATTTGCAGCAATCTGGTTGTTAATGCACCACAATCAGTATTCAACTGGTCACATAACCTTAGGTCAGGCGTTATATTTTCTCGTTTGCTTCTTTGGCTTGAGATTGTAGAGGAAAAGGGAGAGGGCATGATCCCAGGCTATTGGTCACAGAAATTATGTTATCCTTGTTAATCTTAATAACCTTGATCCTATAACTTATATATATTTTTTAACTCTAGAAACCACAGTTGGGTCAGCTTTTCTGGCTTCTCAACAGCCTACAATGGGGCGTTCCACCTGCTTTCAGGAGTGGGAAGTATTAATATTATTTGTATTATGCACATGTATTTTGAATACTTACTTTCTTCAAATTGGCTGTTGGTTGCTCCAAAAAATATTATGAATGACTGGCTCGAATAGCTATTGGTACAAAAGTTTTTATCAGTTACTAATTTATTTATTTTTTGGTTTTGTAGGCTATGGAGAAAAACAGTGCAGTTCTGCATTTTGGAATGGAGAATTGGAGTCTGAGCTGAGAGAGCTGGGTAACCTCGAATTTTTTGGACTTCTAAAGGAAAATGATAGTCGAGAGAAGGTTATCGAAGAGGTGGATAAGATACGTAGCAAGTCTGTCTACAGTCATTCAGAAGATGACTGTTCTGATGCTTGCAAAGCACATGGTAAGGACTGTTCTTACAGCTAGTTATTTCCTGGAACCATTGTCAGATTCCCTATTCCCGTATCTCAACATGGCCTACTATTGTTTACTTATTATGGAAATGTCATCAGCTTGCCCCGGGGGTAGACCCCTGGGCCAACCAGGGGGACTGTAAAATGAGCGGAACAAAGTTTAGGATTTCGGGGAAATTAATAAGACAAAGTCCCCTGGAAAGGTAATGCTTTAATCAGCTGATGAAACTGACAATCAAAGGATTGTTTTTGGGATTTCTCATATAATCCTCAACTCACCCAACTAATAGCTGTAAATCTTTTATTAATTGCTTTCTTGGAATCTTAAAGAGTTGTGGAATCTACAACAACCATCTGATTGAGTCATTTTGATAATTGCTAGCCTCCCACACAGACACGTACTCTTAGGGCTTTATCACACGCGAGAGGCTACATAATAGCAAGAATAATGCGTGTACACATGACATTTTTTACTAAATACGGAATACAGTTGCCTGAATTTCAGACGTCTTCTCTGTCATCTAGTTTTCACAATATTTTTTAATAAAATTGTATTTTAATTCAATCAAATGACAGGCTGTGGAAGGTTGTGGGTTTGTGATGGTCAGTGGAAGCTGATGTTCGCTCATTGTATGATGCATAGGAAGGTAAATAGCAACATATAGTATTATATTCGTATTATTTTAAATGCCAAGAACAATACTAAAGTTGACATAGTTGACAAAGCAAAAATTTATTGTAAACAAGCAATACACAACTTAACAACTATTTTTGTCTTATACATACGTTTTGATATAAAGAGTTTGTCGTATGAACAAAGTGTACAAAATGACTGTGGGAAGACATAGTTTAAAAGTAATATATATTATATATCATTATGTCCATCAACACATAAAAATTAATGTAATACTTCCTCGATGTTTTGTAATTAGTTATCATTTTCATTAATGTTTTCACTTTGGGAATTACCGGCCTTTTTAACTTTCCAACAGAACTTTGTCCGAGGGCTCCCCCTGCTAAATTACCCCAACGTGTGCACCAATTCACCACAGAGTGGAAAGGCTTTCTGTGCTGAGCACGTACAGTTTCTAACAGAGAAGCACCCTCAAGGGCCTACCGATATTCATGGTTTTTTGAAGTATTGTGGAGTCCAGCATGGAAGTGCAAGTTCTGGTGACTATGCATCCTTTTTTTTTTTTTAAACCAGCTCTCTATCTGTGCAGCATGGTCTGTATAACCAGTGCAAGTAAAGAATCAATGTTTGCAAATTAAAACACATTATTTTAAAATTAGCTTTTAGTGTTAGGTAAAATACACAGGCATTGGTTTGTAGGGTGCTTAGAAATTTCATTTTAATTAAACATACATACATACATGTATTGTTCTGAACCGTGCGAAATATTGCACAGTCTCTTTAACAGGTGATGACAGTAGTGACACACTCTCTGAAGAGTTTGTACAAGATAAAGATGTGAAAAAAGTGGATGATGTTCTGTCACTGTTGAGGGATGATTCATCAAATCTTGGCAATAGTGCAGTCGAGGCCCAAGGTGAAGTATACTGAAGTATGACTAAAGTTTTATTAGTTATTCGTTGTTTTTAAGGGTAACAAGCACTGGTACATAAAGATACAAAATAAATAATAATAATTTATATTATTAGATTCCTCAATTCCAACAGGCTGGCACGAGCTCAAATCCCACCAGCACAAAACTGCCTGTTCAGTATTTATCCGTTGGAGCTGAAACTTAGCAGAATTTTAAAAAGTTACATTGTCTAGGTACCCATGTTTTTAGATTTTGAATTTCTAAGTTTTTGCCAGAAAAATGACGTCACAAGATTGACATCAAATTTTAAATTGTAACGGATACTGCTGCGAGTGGGTACATTAGAAACACCGCAACGAGATAGAAGCCTATGTTAAAAAACTTTTTTTTTGAAAAGCTGTATTGGTTGAAGAGTTATGAAGCTTTAACTTTTGAATTTCCTGCCATTTTGTCACTAGTTTTAGAAAACAAAACTAAAACTTCAAAATGCTAAATGAGAGAGGGGGAGTGACAAATAAAAGAAAGGAAACTTTAAAATTAAATTATTCACATTTTAAAGGGGACTCATTTAATAAGTACTTGTTGACTCTGTGACTTTGTTAAGCATGTTACCACTTTTATTTTACTTTTTGGACAGGTCAGAAAGCCCATCCCAGGTCTTCATCATCGTGCTCTCCTGGCTTTTCACAATCTTAAAGTATATGAACCCACTGAACTGGGGTGGGGTCTTTCTGGCTTATGACAACATGTGCCATTTGGATGGCCTAAAAGCTGCTAAAAATCCCTTGCCATGGGCAGCTCCTTGGGACAGAGCATGGATGTTTATCCAAAAAATGATAGATAGTTTGGACATCCGCAACCACAAAGACCAGTCTTGCAAAGAATCATACAATCCAGCCAGCCTGAAAAAAGAACTCCCTGATGGCAACACTATGGCTGCTGAGCAAACATTTGTGTGGCTGTCACACTTTAAGAAAATTTTATGTGCCATGCCAAAAGTCCACCATTTATTTTATTTACATCGGATAGTTAAACGTCGAAACAGATATGCAACGACTTGTTACAAGAAAGGCAAGAAGCCATTGCTGCCAAAGGCTCGTGGAACAGCAGGCAGAACTGGGAAAAACTAAGTGCATTGCTGGGATATAGCAGGGATAAATCAGTGCAGTGCTCCAAGCTCAATTTTTTCATACTCCCCCTTCGGCGATCAGAGCCCAGTTGTTTAGCACTAACCTGGGGTTAAATTTCAACACGTGTTTCTTTTTCTTTTTAACAAAGAAACTCCCTCGGATAATTTTCTCTATTGTTATTCTTTCTTTTTTCAAGTTGTAGGCAGGGAGAATTAAACTGAATTTGCTGTTTGAGCTCCCATATCTGAGTTCAGGTTTTGCAGTAACCCTGGGTTGTCTTAACCCAGCTTCGAACAACCCAGCCCAGAAGTAATAATATAGTTGCCAAACATGAAATATTGGTAACTTGTAAAGTAGGCAACCAAGCAAAACGGTTGCAGCTTGGAGTGCTGCTGTGGTTTCATGGGACAAAGACCTGATTTCAGCCCATTTGCCATTTACTGGGCAAATGTAGCTTTTTTGCGCTGAAAGATGGATTTCAGTACAAAAACAATTAATTCGCTTAAAGCTGCAAAAAGAGGTAATTTGGGTTGAGATTGTTTTTTTGGAAAGAAAATAATAGTGAAAAACTTAGTCCATTTAATGTTAGAAATGCAAATGTGGGTGGAATTGAACATGTCTGTTTTATTAAAATGGCGAGAAGTCACATGATTTTCTCGCTGGAAAAAATTGTTTAAAGAATAACCACTATTGTTGTCCAAAATGTTTGTTACTTCAACCTTTTTGGCTACATTTATGAAAAATGTGATACAAGAACTGTTTGCCAAAGTGAAAGTTCATTAATAACCAGGGTGCAAAGAAAGTCATTATTACAGCTTGCCATTTGGGCCAGCTGAAGTTAGCATTTACTAGCTCAAACTTCGTTTCAACTGGCCCCCAAAATTTTTTGATGATTTTCGCCTCCTACTTGGTTAGAATTGGCCGGCTACTATGGTTGGCATTTCTTTACATATGGCATTTTGAAATAAGTTATCCCTGGACTGACTGCTTACTTTGACATCTCAGCTGTCTATTCCAAACCTTTCTGATTGCACATTTCTTCTATAAGTAGAATTCCTCAAAATACTTCACTTGCCCATCGGGCAGGTTAATAACAGAATTCACTAGATCGATAGCAAAACTCACTAGCCGCGGGCATCGGATAGTACTTTTTTTGCATGCTGATTACTTGCATTGTACTTTTACAGACAATTATTTCAAAATTATTATAGATGCTTGCTGGTTGTAACTGAAAAAATGGCGTCTTTCCATCCTACCTCATGACAAATTCAATTTTCATTGCTGGTGTGGATATAATATGCATTTGATTTTTAAATTTGTATACTTGTCAGTGGAGTGTACAAGAGCATTCCTATCTTAGTATTTTTGCGTGCATTGTTTAAAAGAGCATGGAAAGTTTTTATAATAGTTATTGTAAGTTTTCTAGTGGCTTGCGACCAATAAACAAAAGTAGTCAATCATGTTGTTGTTTTTCAGTGTTTTGGCTTCACAAGAATGGCAGAACATAATTAACAACAGAGTATGTTGTAATTCGGAAGGCAACATGAGACTTAGCTCTTTTTAGTTCCAAATAATATTAATTTGTGACTGTTTTTTTTTGGGAGACATTACACAGGCTATCAAGGAATTTGAGTTTTCTCCCCAATGCTGCGTTTTTTGTACCTTAAATCAATGATATTTATTACATTGATATTGTAGCTATTTCTATTGACATTGCTATCTTTTAACCTAGTCTCAATTTTATTAATCTTTATTATTATTGTTATTAATTTTTTCTTACATTTTGGATTCTACATTAATAATAATTTATTATGTAATGTTTTGATTTAATTTAGATATTCGAAGATATTAGAACCATTTTGCTTTCGCAAATTCAAATTCGAATAAAGTTTATTGTATTAATGTATTGTATGCAGAGGATTTTTTTTCTCAACTATCCGAAAACAGTGAAGGCTGCATTAAGCGGACACCTTGGGGACCTTCCCAAGTGTCCATGTTGTTAAGAAAGCTGCGCTGTACTTTTTGCAAGACTTTTAGGTGAACCTTTGACAGCTAAATGTATTGATTTATCTTTATTAATTCAGTATGTTTTCAAGGACGTAAGCCAATGTTACGAGTCCTATTGACAATTCAATCTGGTGTCCGCTTAATAGAGGTTTTTAACAATAAAAATTAGCCAAATACAATTTATTTTAGTGTCCGCATCCATTTAATAGAGGTGTCCGCTGGATAAGGGTTCGTTTTAAAGGAAAATATAATGCGTTACTTTCGGGACCCGGCTTACTGTCCACTTAATGGAGGGTGTCCGCTTAATGAGGGGTCGGCTTAATAGAGGTTTCACTGTACATGCATCGATTTTCCAAGTAAATATTATCCACAGTTCTACAGTCAAGGCAGGTCAAGCGTAAAACCCAAGATTCTCTTACAGTCAAACCAGGTCAAGCGTACCCCCCAAGAATCCATTAATGAATTTATTATTCAAAAGTTGAATCCGTTGCTAGTTGCAGATTTCAGATTGATCTCTGCATTCTTGCTTGTGTAATGAGCCGTGAATTCACACGCGAGGCAGTTATGAAATTTCTACCAGCTCCATTTTCCTGAAATTGATGTAAATGTCTTCTAAGAAGCTTAATCCATTCAAAGATTTCCAATCTGACCAAATACAAAGAAGTTCTCGTAAAATATTCACTGCTCATTACGCATGCAGAAATGCCGCTTTGAATTTGACACCAGTTACGGGAACGACTAACGGATTCATTTTTCAAATAATCAATTCACTGATAGAATCTTGGGGGGTACGCTTGACTTGGTTTGGCTGTAATGAATTGATTATTAGAAAAATGAATCCGTTAGTTGCTCCCGTAACTGGTGTCAAATTCAATTTGGCATTCTGCATGCATAATGAGCAGTGAATATGTTACAGGGAATAGTTGCAGGGAATAGGAATAATGATTTTCACTTTTAACAAAGTGAGAGCGAGCAAGTTGGACAATCTGAGAATCAGGCAAGTATGTAGTAGCCTTGGGCCCGGTTCAGACGCCGCTCCACTCATGTACCGAACCTAATTCAATCGAGTTTGAATTCAGAACCAGACTGGTGCGACATCTGATTCACTCGGGGTACCGTGTGTTATCATAATGACCATAATGTAAGCATTTGGTTTGGTACATGAGAAGAGCACGTGGGAACAGCGATGCACTCCTTTATCTGAAGGCCTCGAACAGGCTAAGCGCTGCTTGGATCACCTGGTACTCCAATTTTGAATAATGCCACAGCCCCTGCCCAACTTAACTTAACGTTTTTTGATGATTACATCTGCCGTAAAAAACTGATTCAGATGGCACTGTACTTAATAGACCTTTACATGATTTATGACGCCATCTTGGCTGGGTGGCAAACATGGCTAACATTGCAGTGAATGTGTGGGATTTTGGCCCACTTGAAACTGTTGTAACGCTGCTACATAAAAGGCGGATTTCCACAGCAAAAATATATTTTAAGACTATTTTTGAGATTATTTTCGTAAAGTATAAAGAAGAGATTCTGGCTATAACGACCGTAAACGAATTTTTAAGATTTCATACAAAACCCATTACGCAAATCAACATTATACAAATTACCATGAAATTAGAAGCCACATGGGAAGATCAAAATATAATTGAAAATCCGCTTCTTCGCGGCGGCATTATAGCGGTCCCATAATTTTTGCCGTGTTTGCCCCAAGCCAAGATGGCCTAATAAACCGTGAAAAGGAGAGTTGATCGGCGTCTGAACTACACATCGATATACCATGCACGATTTTGGAAGAGTGTAATGACCGCATGAAATTTGTGATCTATCACACATCACACAGCAAAACCGACACAGACGAGACATACCACTGCACGATCGCTCGACACATACGGCAGTGTTCTCCCTAAATTTTAGCTCAGCAGGTAAGGGACCATTCATGGAAGGTAAGGCAAAAAATATATACTTTTCTAAGAGGGGGGGGGAGGGGGGACAGTGGAGTGAGGGACATGGACCCGCCTTCACTGGGAAATTTTTTATTCCCATATTTTAAGACCTATTTTACGCAAATCTGCTGTCGTTATCTTTACAAAACAAATTAAAACGTTTGATTCCAATAATTTTACTATGTCTCCAAAATGCATGTCCCTAAAAAGGAAAGCTGCATATACAGTACTAGTACAGAACCAAAATAATGCACGCGCAAAAAGTGGCGTAAGAAGTTGCTGCGCCCCAAGAACATGCAAGCCACCGCAAGAAGTGAAAGTGCCGTATTTTTGCGGTCCCTTTGTGGTTTACCCACATGAACTTTGAAACGAAAGAAGTCAAAAATCTTCACCGCAAGAAGCTAGAAAATTACCGCAAGCCTCAAGAAGGCGCATGAAGTTCTTTATAAGCGTTAACCTGAAAGAAGTTTGTAGTGTTTGTTGCCTTTTTGTGACAACACCGTTTTGTAGCGTTGATACTAATTCACTCTGTGGCAGCAAAAGGTAATCATGAAAGTACAAACGTAAAAAGTTGCCTGGGAAAGCGAACAGCTTTCTCTGCTTTTTGTGCAAAGTGAACACTTCAATCGGTTAGCTTTTCCAAAGTTAGATAAAGCGTGTGAGGCGTTTGTTTAACAAAACGATCTGTAGTTTCGAACATTTCGATTATTTGGATCATTTCATAGTACAATACCATAGTCTCGGCAAAACAAACTAAAGGCGTTGAATTTCTGCCCACAAGAAAACATGGGAATTATTATTACTTTATTGCGCTAAGTTGAAAGAGCCTTTAGTGAAAATATTCCTTACTTTACTTTAGCATGTTTTTTTTTTTCCGAGAGCGCTTTAAGTTGACACAGTTGCACG